CAGCAGCAGCAGCAGCAGCAGCAGCAGCAGCAGGAGTTGCTGCTGTTCGTCGATCAGAGGACCTAAGCTGCATTGAATCTCTCTATTTGCTGCTGCGGTTCGTCCGCAGCAGCAAGGACTGGCGGTTTGTGCTGCTGCTGCTGCAGCTGCTGCATAACTTTGGAAGGCTCAGCAGCAGCAGCAGCAGCAGCAGCAGCAACTGCAGCAACACAGCAGAGCTAGCTACCAGAGTTGCTGCTGCTGCTGCTATATGCAATCGATATGATGAAGCTTCAGCTGTACGCTCACATCCTTTCTCCTGCTGCTGCTGCTGCTGCTGTTGCTGCTGCTGCTGTTGTTGCTGCTGCTGTTGTTGCTGCTGCTGCTGTTGTCGTTGCTGCTGTTGCTGCTGTTGGTGTTTCTTCTGCTGCTGTTGCTGCTGCTGCTGCTGTTGCTGCTGTTCCCGCACCTCTTATTGCTGCACTGGTTACTGCTGCAGTTACCGCAGCAGCAGAAGCAGCAGCAACAACAGCAGCAGCAGCAGCAGGAGCAGCAGCAGCAGCAGCAGCAGCAACAACAGCAGCAGCAGCAGCAGCAGCAGCAGCAGGAGCAGGAGCAGCAGCAGCAGCAGCAGCAGCAGCAGCAGCAGCAGCAGTTTGTGTTTTGTGTATATTCAGGTTGTATACAGCAGCCGCTATTTTCTCTCTTCTCCTCCTTCTTTGTTTCTCGTTTTTTCTTTAATTGAGGATTTGCTGCTGCAGCAAGAAGCAGCAGCAGCAGATAAAGTTTTTGCTGCTCTCAGACAAGACTGGTCTGCTGCTGCTGCTGTTGCTGTTGCTGCTGCTGCTGCTGCTGCTGCTGTTGCTGCTGTTGCTGCTGCTGCTGGTGATGCTGTTGCTGCTGTTTTCCCCCGACGGCAGTTGCTGCTGCTGTTGCTGCAGCAGCTGCTGCTGCTGTTTCTTATACTGTGTTTACAGTTGCTAATGCATCTGCTTGTGTTGCTGCTGCTGCTGCTGCTGCTGTTGCTGCTGCTGCTGCTGCTGCTGCTGCTGCTACTGCTGCTGCTGCTGCTGCAGGCGGCAGCCGATATCACCATCGAGTTATTTGCTGATGCTTAGAGCTGCAGTGACACCCCAACAAATAAATATAAAAAAATGCATCGCTGTGAGCTGCTGCTGCTGCTGCTGCTGTTGCCGCTGCTGCTGCTGCTGCTGCTGCTGCTGTTGCTGCTGCTGCTGCTGTTGCTGCTGCTTTTGCTGCTGCTGCTGCTGCTGCTGATGGGTTGCTGTTGATTCTGGATTTCGTGCTACTGCTTGTGGCGTTGCTGCTGTTTCTTCTGCTGCTGCTGCTGCTGTTTCCGCCGGGAGTGCAGCAGCAGCAGCAGCAGCAGCAACAGCAGCAGCAGCAGCAGCAGCAGCAGCAAAAGTATATTGCTTTGTTGTTTGCTGCAGCTGTATGATGATGCGCTCGCCCTGGGCGTCGCTTTGCCTCAATCAGCACATCTGCTGCTGCTAGAGCTGCTGCTGACGCGTGCTGCTGCTGCTGCTGCTGCTGCTGCTCCTGCTGCTGAGACAGCGGCATCTGAAGCAGCAGCAGCTGCTGCACCAGCAGATGCAGCAGCAGCAGCAACAGAAGAAGAAGAAGGAGCAGCAGCAGCAGCAGCAGCAGCAGCAGCAGAGAATGATTTTACTGCAGCAGATTACCTGCGGATGGCGAAGAGAGTTTGGGTTAGTGCTGCTGCTGCTGCTGCTGCTGTTGCTGCTGCTGTTGCTGCTGCTACTGTTTCTGCTGCTGCTACTCGTGCTGCTGTGCCTGCTGCTGCTGTTTCTGGTACTGCTGCATCTGCTGCTGCTGTTGCTGCTGCTGCTGCTGCTGCTGCTGCTGCTGCTTCTGCTCCTTCGCCTGCTGCTGCTGCTGCTGCACTTACTACTGCACATGCTGTTGTGGTGTTCTTGCGCTGCTGCTGCTGCACTTGCTGCTGCTGCTGCTGCTGCTGCTGCTGCTGCTGCTGCAGGTGTGCATGCGAGAAGATGCTGCTGCCTTCAGCAGCCGTTTGCTGCCTCCGCGGGGTTTGCTGCTGCAGGCCTGGATGACACTGCTAGAGCCAAAGTTAGAATTGCTGCTGCTGCTGCTGCTGCTGCTGTTGCTGCTGTTGCTGCTGCTGCTGTTGTTGTCACTGGTGTTGGCGGTGGTTAGTGTTGCTGGGGTTGGTGTTGCTGCTGCTGCTGCTGCTGCTGCTGCTGCTAGTTGTGCATTATCTGTGCCCCTGTGGCTTTCCTTATCTCATTTGCTGCTGCTGCTGCTGCTGCTGTTGCTGCTGCTGCTGCTGCTGCTGCTGCTGCATGCGTTGTTAGGTGTTTGGGTCTGTCTGACGTGTCTGCTTCTGTTGAGTCTGCTGTTCTGCTTCTTGCTGCTGCCTGCCGCCAGGAGTGTGTTTATAAAAGGTGGGGTTGCTGAGCTTGTCTTTGTCTTTGTCTTTTAATTTTTATTTTATATTTCTTTGTCTCTGTCTTTGTCTTTTTATTTTATATTTCTTTGTCTTTGTCTTTTTATTTTATATTTCCTTGTCTTTGTCTTTTAGTTTTATAAT